GCTTTTTGCCTAGGTCACTCAGAGGTGCTTCCGCCTGCAACGTGTTGGTGACTGTTCTTGGGACTCGGACATTGTTCAATGGTTTGCACTGCTACGCCCCACACGCGAGTCTTAAACAAAGGGAACAGGGAAACGGAAACTAGAAGCAACAAACCAACGTTTCACATGGCACGCAGGCATGCAATGATTTCTCTGGTCATGAATACAATCGGCTTGAGCACAACAACGTTTCATCATCTAATTTCTTGTCACCCCCACTGCGCACTATCTCCATGGGTGCCCCTCACTTCTGATAACCGATCTTTTGAGGCATCTAAATTGGGGCAACCTTTCTTTTCATGGTTGAAGCCTACGGTTTCTGTGATATAGTCATCGTCATTCCCATATGTACTTTTCCGCAAAAAGGAGAGTTCTTTGTTATTACAGATAGTGGCAACCTAAAACTGCCTAACCTGCGCGTAACAAATGTTCACAACCAAGGCACCCCATCCACGTTGGTTTAAAGTGAAGCAACAAGGAAACCACCATTTTGACAGGGTTGGTACTTTCATGGTGGGCGCTTTCAGCCTGGAACAGAGATGTTGCGAAGCTATGCGCCTCCAGGAGACCGCCTATTCGGCGCAACGGGTGGCAAAGGACAGGCCGCCATTGTGTACCCTATTCACCGTTTGAGAAAATATAACTCGGTTTGCGAGCGAACAACCATGATTTAGGCCTGGTCCTTTTGTGCCAGATTGGCTTGGAGTGCCGTGTGGCCATGGTTCAAAACCAATGGTACCATTTTGGGATAGGTGCACCACCCATAACAGTCTATTTTAGTGAGAATTGGGTGTTCACTGGGGGTACGGGGTTTTGACCCATGGCCGCGTTGGGGATTCGAACCCAACTTGGGAAGGTACCCCTTAAGGGACAAGGTCAGTGATCTGCAGTCAGTGGGCCCTTCCCCTTCCCAAACACGCATCTCAGTTGCACAGTCAGACCATCTAGTATTTTGTGTTTGACTTTTCCTTTCAACAAACAGGACACCCACCTGTGAATGGAACCGGTGCCGGGTTAGTGATTCCATCGGTTTGTGGCACAGGGGCTCTGCACCCGCTTCGTCAGATGGGTTGTGAATGTTGGAGTTGGTACCCCGTGTTTTGTTTGTTCCAAGGCGTCTTTGGGTTTTGGGCCCTGTATTTTGACACTTACCCAATATTCTGCTTTGTCTAATTATGGTCATTTTGGGAGAGGCATGGGGGTCATGGGGGCATGAATTCCAACCGCAAAACCAAGGGACACTAGATAGTTTATTCTGAAGAATAGCGGCTCTTCCTGGTGGTTTGTTTGCTTCTGGTTTGTCCTTTCAGCGTAGGGTGGTCATGAAATGATAAGTCAAATAATGATAATTTCAGGATCATAAGTCCATTTCCCCATGGCCCTTCGCATCCAACATGTTGTTCCTTTCCTAATTTGAGTGCGGTTGGGATGATTCTAACTACCCAGTGATCATGACAACAGTCACATGGCGTAGCTCAACTGTACCCTTTGCAATGCAAAACCACGATGCGGATTTCTCAAGCTAGGCTTCCCCCTAAATGGTGGGCTTCCTTTGTATGATCATACACTTCTGTAGTCTTTGTATGAATTTCTTTGTATTTTGCTGCAGTATCTCAAGTATTATTCAATAGTGGTGATGATGATCCATTATTTGAATTTGAAGGAGTACAAGCCTTTAGATTTGGATCAAAAGTCCGAACATGGAAGTCGCGAGCCACAAGGGGGTTCATTTTGAGAGAGTCCCCAGTCAATGACCACCCTTTCCGGAGATCATCATAATCTTCTGCTCTTGCCAGCCAAAGAAAGCGGGTTCTTCTGGTTGCCGCCTTCTGCAAATGGCCAAGGGAGCCCTTTTTACAGTGACGCAGTGGCGATAGATTTGAATCCTACTTCAAATCCCAGACAAAGATATTGGCCACCACCATGTCCCTTCAGGCTGGTGAACTAAGTTCGTTTTAGTGCCAATTACCCAGATGTGAATCAACCCTTTGCGTTGGTGAATTACTATGATTTGCCCTCACGTTTAGTTTCTTGCTGTTCTATTAAGACAGGTTGGCATATATGCTGTCAAAGTGACATAGAAAACCTGGAAGCGAGCTATTTTGTCACAAGGCTGATTTGGGTTTGTCCTAAATTAGAGAACACCAAAACTGGATTTGGGTGTTCCTCTTGGTTTCCCTTTAAAACCAACCATTAAGGGTCTCCAACAAAGGACACCCCTCCCCATTTTGAATTTCCGGAGGACGCCATCAACGACATCGTGACCTTGACAGACCCTTTGTTCGAGGCGATGGTGGAGGCAGTGCGGCTCTACGGGCATCCAGGCGCCATCGAAGGATCTCTGCCAACCCTTCGACTGGTTTCCTTGCACAAAATTCCCAGATTCGTTCCTAAATGTCCTATTGATTCACCATCCTTTGTGATTTCCTTAGAGGGAATCGCCAGGTTCATGTTCAAAGCCCTGGTCGGTTACCTGCTGAGAAGCACCAAGATTGGTGTGCATGGCCTTTTTGGAGGTTCAAGGGTTTGGGGTTTGAATTGTTGTGTAATTAAAGCTTCAACGGGCATGTGGCCTGAGGTTCTGGAGACATTTCCAAGAAGCCTCGAAGGTTGTGGTGTTCAAGGTCCCCAACAAGCTCTTTGTGCCATGACGAGCCAGCAACAGCTAGCATACAGGGCCAACTACTCATATTGTTGGCAGCTCCAACAATCTCACAACATTCAGCAAATCTCAGCAATTATGTCCTTTTTGCCGAGATGTCATATGTGCTCCAGCTTGTTCAAATGAAAAGGTATGATCGGCTAAATGCAGTTTCAACCCATGGCTGACACCGCCTCACCAATGTTCCGAGCTTGGTGGATACTTCGTTCCCCCTAGCAATAAATGCGCCCTAACAATAAATGCGGACCCCCCCCAATAGTGAGTATTGTTTGGGGGACAAAACATATGTATGAATAGGGTGCTTTGGGGTCGACTTGATTTCCCCTTCGGTCCTCCCCCCTTCCCGGACGGAACACGTCAAAACCGCAATTGTCCGAATAACGAAGTTAAATCAAACCGTTCAAGGGTGTTTGCTGTTTTTGCGGTTCAATTGTAACTTAATTTAAACAGCGCAGTTTAAATCTAGAATTGCAATTTAAATAATACATGTAAATTAGTAACAGGTAAGTATGCATTCATAATTTTCGTTGGGTTGCTGCAAAGAGCTTGGGTCTTGGACTAAGTACCCCCTAATAAGACTGGGTCTGGTCTGGGCAGAGACATCGGGCAGTTTAGTATTGGTGTTGAATTGGCCTATTCTGATAGTAGTATTGGGGACCCGGCTGTTTCAGCCAATCTGGAAAAATGTATTTATCAATAGGGTGCGTTTATTAAAAGGGGGAGCGGATTATGGAATTTGTTCGGAATGACCCAATACGCCTGGGCTACTGACAAGCACACCTCTTGATATCCTTGGGTTATGTCCGCTTTTGGTGAGCCGCCTGTCCAAATGAGTGGGCCAAGAAGCGAGGCCAACCATGGCCTAGTGCTGTTGCAATATTTGTTTTTCGGACTCGCTTGGCTCACTTGCAATTTTGTGGCAGAAGTTTTTTTTGTCCTCCCCGGCTGGGGGAGAGATAGCGAGAGAGATGAGGTTCTGCATCCTGTGCCTATAGAGATTGCGAAGAGTTGCGATTGAACCCTCTACCAGCAAGCTCAAGCCCAAATCGCCCTATGCAATGCTCGATCTCTAGCCGCTGCGCTTTACTCAGTTGCCCATTGGCTCCAGCTACGTGTTTCCTTTTTGGGGAGGGGGCTTGTTGTCTAAAATCGAGGGTACCCTTTTGTCCCATGATGACTGGGCTTCTGTGCTTAGAACGAGAGGCACCTGCAACCCCATGGCCAACATGACCCACACCGACTGGCACAGCCACTCTGCTGGGACTGGGGCAACAGCGCCATTGACTCGTCCCCAAACCCAGACCTTAAGGGGTCTGGATAAGTCTGTCCCTTTCAGTGTACACCTCACTTGTTCGCCAAGGTCAGATGAGTTTCCTGAGTGATGTTTACGGGGGGAACATAGGGAGCTTTGCGATTTTTCCGGGGGGAGTGGACGTTCAAACGATGCTGCATCCCAGCTCACCTGAGAATTCCTGAAACAATTGGGATTCATACATATTTGACTGTTATATACGCAACCACAATTGTTTTCCTAAGGAGTCTCATAGTCTGATTGAGGCAACAAAAAGGTATATGGGGGTTGAAGCATGCAGCATAGGTGTTACATCAGACAGCGGCCCTCAACCTTGTTGGACCCAAGCAAGATGCTATGTATGTATGGGATGGCTTTGACTTTGAACCGTTGATGTGTTGGTGCTGCTTGGGTTGTGGGGGTAGATCCCATAGGTGATCCAGGTGTAGAAAGTGCGCACCAACGAGACTTCGAATGACATCCCGGCACGAGTACATGAACCGGGGAAAGCACTGAATCATTGACGCGAGGCTTGAGACGTGTTACAAAAAACACACCTCCAACTTCCTTCGCCGAACCGGTCGCAACCTATTGGCAGGACGGTGTCAAGCCATCTGTCTCCGCGTCTGGGAATTTCTCTCCTGCACTACCCATTGAAACACACACAGACACATACATGTTTGCTCGAGCTTTCGTGGCAAACAAGTGCGCGAGTATCGGTACATGCAAAAGCATCCAACCACACGGATTGCGGGGCAGAGCTGTGTTCATGTTCGAACGTACATGGGAGAGTGACTCTCATAAAGTAGCGAGACCAGTGGCGCACGAGCTTCTCGCAAACAAGCTCTACTTTTCCTGAAGGTTCACAGAGCGCCTTTCAATAGGGGAAGCCAGCCTCAAGGCGTCTAATGTAACAGGTGAATCCAATGTGTGCAAAAAGGAAAAAGTGCCCTGCGGCGTATGCTAAAAACGCTCCGTAGAGCCAACAGCACAATTCCCCAGCCCAAAACACAAAAAAACGGGCCCAACGTCGCGCAACAAGTGCAATCTCCCTGAAAAAATAAAGCATCCTGCTGAGGAGACTCCGTGAAGAAGGTGTTTGTTGATTCTCAGGAGCCTGAAACCGGACCCCTGAAATGATTGCAACTCATTTTCCTTGAATTTGGAAGGCTGATGGTTCACTGCGCTCTCCCAAATGTCGCACGGATGTCAGACAAAACGAAAGCCGACCTTGCGCTGAGATTTCTTCCTCAGCTTGGAGAAGCAGCGGCTTTGGACTCAGGAGCAGGGTTCGCTGAAACATTTGTTTGGACAACCAACACGTGGTTCCCTCAAGGAAGCCCAAAGTAGACTTAAACAGCTTCGTGGCAACAACTACCTTCTGGTCCCCTTGGGGACCAATAGGAGGTCGTTAAAGCAAATCAGCCTGGAACCAAAAAACCAACATCATTTCTACAAGAACCTTCTTTTGGGGAGCTTTTTTTGAGAATCCATGCGGGGGAGTAAACCCATGTGTTGAATGGTTTTCATCTCCCGAGCCCGAGGAGGCATCTCAGCACTTCGCACAGCTGGCGCTAAAGGTGGACGTCAAGACCCTGCAGGCCAAAGCCGCCACGGATGCCAAACGAAGGTCTTGGGTGCCTGTAGTGGACATGAGGGTTGTCAGACTTTGGGGCCCGTTTTGAATGTCTTCCCCTGAAAAAGGCGAACAGCCCCCCTTAAATGGTGGAGTTGTGCCATGTACTTTCATCCGACTACACCCAATATCGGAACACAGACCTCCACCCATCTTTCTGCGTGGGTGGTTTTCCTTTTTCCCTTTCACACCAACCCCAAACCGGGCCCCAAGCAGGTTTGCACCCTCGACCAACCCTCCCCCCCCACGGTGAGCCACTTGCGTGGTTCTGGGTAGACCCCAACCCCAACATGGGCCCAAAACGGGCGGCCGCCGTCCTCGACCAAACCCCCCCCCCTCTCCGCCAGGCGAGCCACAATCAAAACAAGGGTAGACGAAGGTAAGTAAGGGCCAATCCCAACCATAAATAGCTGCGGCCGCCTTCTTGATTCTTTACATGGTTCTGGGTTCACCATTTTTCTGCCGTTTTTTTTTGATTTGGACCCACAATGGGCACCAAATCGGGCCCAGCCGCCGTCCCCGACCACCCACCCCCCCCCCCGCCAGGTGGAGATCACCGTCTTCCTGGCGGAGGCCTCCGAGAACCTGCGGAACCTCGTGGAGGGCAGCCGCGCCGAGGGCGTCGTGCCGCCCCCCTCCGCCCAGGATCCGCTCGCCTCGCTCGGGTATTCGGAGCGTTCCGGAACGGGGCAAGCCTTTGGGAGTTCCCAACAAAAGCGACCTGCAAAGGGCTAGCCGGCTAGCCTCACAAAGACACCCGTCGTATTTTCGGTTAGCTGCAAAACGCTTGCAATGCCGGACACAGCTTACCTGCTGCTGGAAGCTTGGGGGTCTCTCCACGCTCCGGACTTCCAGAAAGGTTGCAGAAGGGTTGCAGTTGAAAAATGTTGGGGATACCTGACATTCCTTGCGCTTTGTCCAAGACCTTCCAATTGCTTGGAGGCTAGAGGCTTTCCTCTTTTCAAGACCCAAGCCTTCAACTCACCAACCCACCCACGGGCGAAGCAACTCGACAATTTCGGCAGGTGCTGGACGCCCTGCTGGGCGCCTGGGGCGTGTGGGGTGACCTCGAGACGGAGCTGTCTGCGGCGGTGCATCATCTGGCGCTCAGCGATGTGGTGGTGGGCCGGGTGGTGCAGCTTAGCAACAAGGCGAGGAAAGGACCCTCAGTGCGTTGGGGTTTCCACAGCCTGAGACTGGTCAAGCCAGGGAAGCCAGCAAGTCAGACGGTCCCAAAATGAAGTTGTTGGACAAGTTTCAACAGTTCCTTTTTCCATTTCTTGGGAGGGTGGAGGCCCTTTCAAATCACCTACCAAAAGAGCAGGTGCTTTGTTTCTCCGCTGGGGGGAAGGACGGCCGGGAATGAGCTCTCAAAATGGACCTTTCTCCGCGAAATGGAGATTCCGCTTGGACACGGATGGAGTAGAATGAGTTGATACATTGAAGATGGACGCTGGGCTTTATGTCCAACAAAGCTGGCCAACAACGGCGCAGAGCACACCAACACCACACGGGTTCTGCAGGGTCTTTATAAGGATTTATAAGGTCTTGTTGGAGGCTTGTGGCAAAGTGGACCCTCAGGCGGGAGGACCCTGTTCTTGTTTGGTTTTTGTCCATAAACCAAAGGGCGAGCTCAAAAGACGGGCTTGGGCAAAAAAAGTCCAAGAAGGGTCGACGTTGTTGTTTTTTTTGTGTGGGGCAGGTCATGGAGTTTCTGGTGTCCGCCATCGAAGAGAGCATCCGCCTGGCGGCCAACTCCACTTTCCCCACCTACAGCTTCGATCTCGCGGGCCAGCAGCCCACCCTCAGCGCCCGGGCGCGGCTTCGCGGAACCCGCGGGTTCGCGGGTTGGCCGAGTCGGTGGTTCGGCTTCGGCTGGGTCCGGGGTCTCCCGGACTACAGTGATGTCACACACCCAAGATGAAGGGACTAGACCCCATTGTTTAAGGGTCATGGACTCCAGATACATCCAAAAGCCAAATGCTGTTCGAGAAAATTCCTCTTATATATTCCCTGGTAATTGGCAGATGGCCCCAGCTGGTATCTTTGGGGGATCCTGCTCGGCCGTTTCCTTGGGTGTGTCCTTTGTGTTGGTCAGATATGTCAGCGGTGACAACGATAGTCCCGGGAATCCTGCTCAAGTCTGCTTAGTTATTCTCGCCCGAACATAACTATCAAGGAATGCGAAGCAAAACCTTTCAATGCAAGTGCGGACGCGGATACGTTGGGCTTTGCCTTCAGGGACGGAGCAATGTGTTTGTACTTATTTGGGGGTGGGGGTACCCTTTCTGGGGTTTAGAACGAAACCAAAGGACGACCCGTTTTACTTTTTACTTTTTCTGGGGCGTGCCAGGTTCATCGAAGATTTCCGAAGACAAGGCTGCACCTTAGCACATGCACCTGCAAGACATCGAATTTCACGGGCAATGTGCCATCGAGCACTGGGCAAGTAGACCATGGTTCTTTATGAACAGCAGTTTTGTGCCCTTTTACCCTTTTTTGGGGGAGGGTCCCCCTACTAACCGGGTTTGGCTCGCAACAATGGGAACGCCAACCAAAACGGGGTTCCCCGAAACAAACGATGCACCCAACTCTTGCGGTTGTTCATCTCTTGTCTTTTTGTCTGTGAGTGTTCCAGTGCGGATCTTGAACAGGATAGGTCAGAACCGGGGCCCCCTTTGCTCATCCACTTGCAAGCGAGTCGTCTAGGGACGGTTATAAAGGAAAACCAGCGGCCGGCTATCTTGCCAGGCGATTCAGTCCGCCTGTTTGGTGATGCTTGGGTACGACACCCAGGACACGATGTGTGTTCGGCCATTCTCTTTCCGCCCTTTCTGGCAGCTTCTCTTTTTCACGTTGGGAGAGAGTGGATTCGGGGCCTTTGGCTTGGGAGGGGAGGGTTTTATTTGATAAGAAACAGTCATTTGGGAGGTTGGGGGGTCCAGTAGGGGTTCTTGATTCCTTTAAGACTAGACGGGCGAACCAGGTTCCTGCCAGTTTGTCTCCCCTTGTCTCCCCTTGTCTCCCCTCGGCCTCCCTTGTCTCCCCTTGTTTGCCTTTGTGATCCAGGACAGTCGAGTTGGACAGGTTCATGCCACTTTGTCTCCCCTTGTCGCCCCATTGTTTCTCTTGTAGGGGTTCTTGATTCTTTTATTTTTAGGTGGTACGCTGGCTCCCACATTCGAAGAAGTTGTCATAGTTTTTGTTGTGTTTGTTCGGGCCACGCCAGCACAATTGTAAACGTCCATCCTGCAGTGCCATGTTAGTATATATGTCTTGTGTTCAGTTTGGTACCTGGCAGTTTCCTCAACCTGTACGCATTTCCCAGAAAAATCGTGCCTTTTTCAGGGTCCTGTAAACCTGCCACGCTAGCCCCAAATTGGTAGCTGCTTCGCATCTTCCAGGTGCCCTCGCGCAGGTGCTATGTTAGTGAGACAGAGGGCAACTGTATTGCTTCGTAAGGTCATCGTTGCGTACCGTTTTTGGGATTGGTTTAAAGGGCAACCAAAAAGAGACCACACATTGTCGGGGCTTGCCTATTTGCACGTACCAGGTTTGATCAATTCCCTATCGCCTATCGCATCGATACTGAAACCCACCTCAAGATAGTGCCGCGCTTCAATCCGATTGGCTTTGGTCAAGCGCTCCAGAGTTGTACCGCTAGATATGTGACATGAAACAAAACACCCCCCAGCCTTTTAAGTAAGACTCTCTCCCAAACAGACGGGTACAACAAAAGGCATCACTGTCACTCTGGGACCTTCGATTTGGGGTTGCCTTAGCCTTCCGTCTGCTGAGGGGTGTGAGCCAGGAGAATTGGAATCAGCTGAACACCTCGCGGCAGCTGTGGAGGGATCACCACTGGACGCTCTTGCAGGGTGCTCCGGCAACAGCGACGACCCCCGCGGCGACTCGGGCCCGAGAATGCTGAAACAATGTCCCAATATCGGCAAGCTGGGACGCGACTCCTCTTTGGCAAAGCGGTACTAGGGCCTAAATGGCTACAAATACGATTCCGTTAGGAGGTAAGTTGGCTTCATGCCCTAAGGGCCCGATGGCAGCTGGCCACCGCTGATTTGTTGCAGGGGCCCCTATGCAGACCTGGTGGGCAAGGTTATCAGCAATCTGACCCTGATCTCCTTGCAAGGAGAACCGGACGGAGCTTGTTTCAAAAGTGATTGAACAGCTTGCTTGAACAAGAGGTTGTCCTTACTTACCCTGCCGAGCTGTACTGAATGGAGATTCTTCCTTGGACTGGTGTTTCTGCTCTCTTGTTGCAGCAAAGTCTTTTGACTGTGTGGGAGCTGCCATCAGGTGGAGCTGTCTTGAATGTTCTTGTAAGAAGAGTGTTAAAGACTTAGTGGCCGGATTTACATGTCTAAAGAGCTGGGGAATGACTACTCGCCAGGGGTTCTTTACCTTGCCGAACTTTGGATGTGAAATGGCATCCCTCCAACAATGTCGGGTTGATTGTGAACATAGGAGAGACTTGGGGGCCCATACAACTTTCCACACAACCAGAGAGGCCAAGTTTCCCATGTGCACTAGGGTAAACGCAGATGTCGACCGTTGGTCGGGCAATTTCCTTATCAATCCTTTGCAATCCCCATCAATCCTTTTGCAATCCCCCGTATGGGTGAGTTGATTGTACCCCTGCGGCAAGCGGATTGCATCTTGTGTAGATTTGATGCTCACTCAGAGCGTGCATGGCACACAGTGCATGACAAACACGTCATCGCAAACCCTGCAAACTCTGCATTCCTTTTTAATACATGAGCCAACCTTTCGCTGACCCGAAGCTTCCGCGGCGCGAACTGTTGCTGCCACGGGCATGTTTCTGTCACAACTGCTTCCGCAAGCTTCTGCGGGCGTGTGTTGGTTACTTTTGCTTCCACGGACACAGTTTTGCTGCTTCTCAACCTTCATTAGGTCAACTGACAAAGGGGGCGTGCGTTGGTTACTTTTGCTTCCACGGACACAGTGTTGTTGCTTCTCAGCCTTCATTATGTTCATTGACAAAGGCACACACACACACACCTTCCGCCAACCTTCCGTGCTGCAATCCAATGCCCATTTTGCAAGAATCATGTCCACCCACTCTACTGCGAAAATGACCGACGAGGAAAAACAAAGCTACCACCCAAATGCCCTGTCCTTGTTGGAACAAGGGAACCAAGTTTATGTTGCAAGCTACAGAAGGATTGATAAGGAAATCGTCTGGCCCACGGTCGACATCTGTGTTTACCCTAGTGCGCATGGGGAACTGGGCTTCTCTGGTTGCGTGGATAGTTGTAAGGCCCCCAAGTCTCTCCCATGTTCACAATCAACCCGAAATTGTTGGAGGGACGCCATTTCACATCCAAAGTTCGGCAAGGTAAAGAACCCCTGGCGAGTAGTCATTCCCCAGCTCTTTCGACATGTAGTCCGGCCGCCAAGTCTTCAAGATTCCCAGACTTGGTTTGTCACAAAGACAAGAAAAGGCAGCTTCTACACGGTTGGGAGTTGGGAGTGAGAAGGGCATTGCCGGACGGTTCTAACCGAAAGCAGACAACATCCACCTGCGGGCTGGAGTTGGTCCTACTGGTTTCGTCGCACTTGGGCTGCGTTTGACATGAGTTGACTGGAACCGTGTGAGAAGCACTGAGGTGAACGGGGTCACTGACGTGTGCATTGTGCAGAAGATGAAGCATCTGACCTATCCCAGCAACGTTTTAAGCAGGGTTCCATTTTGAATACCCCAAATGTAGAAGACTTAACTCCGGGGATAGTTGATTGGCCGACAAGGGGCAACCCTGGTATATAAGTCTATGCTACTTTGGTGGTAATCAAAGAATGAATGGTTTCGGTTTTGTCGGAGGTTCCAAGTGCCTTGGGACTGTTTCTGGCATGATAAGACTCGTTTGGAGCCGACTTGTACACCCTCCCTCCCAACGACGGAACCTTTCAGGGCGTTGAGAGCAGCCTTATCACCCCTATTTCTACGTATAGGGAGTGGTCCCATAGCGGATCCCTTGGTATACAATTCCAATGGCTTTCCTGAGTGGGTACATGGAACATCATGTGCAGCCAGGATCCCTTGGAGAAATGCACAAGACTGTATAGCCAGATTGCATTAAGCGGGGATGTAGCTCTGGATAGATTCCAACGTCTCGCTGTGCCTTGGGTAAGGCTGTCGCGGTATTGCTTTGTTCTTCGGCTTACTTCAGCTAGGAGATCTCAGTCTCTTTGGGAAGACCATTTTGTTGGTAGTCTCACAAACAGCGCGCATCCTCCCCTGAACATGAACGGAGGAAGCCCAAGTAGGGAAAACAATTGCCGGCCCCAAAAGGGTGTTCCTTTGTTGTTTTGGCTTCTGTTAATGAGGGGACGATTCCTGCCCTTCTAACGTTAAACCCGGCGGAGGGTACCTGGTAGATTGTTTTGCTCTTGAAGGGGGCCTTTGTGAGACTCCCATGTTGGTGTGGAGGGTATGGTTGAGTGCATTCCTAAACCACTCCCCACGGGTCCTTCTCATATTCACTATCAAGAAGAATAGTCAAAAAGCGGCCAGCAAGCCAGACTTAGGTTACTGGTATGCTAGAATAGACACCCGCGGCAACTGCTTGGATGTTATTTGGCTTGCTTTTTCAATACCATCCAATATATCGTCACCTTCTCATTCTTTGTTCCTCCACCCAACGTTTGTTTCTGGCCCCGCATCCCTTGGTTACCCTTTTCAAGGCTGGTCTTTGGTATGACCGAATCCCCCCTTGGACCTGTTGGGAACAAATGGGCTTCAAATGGCAATTGCATTAACCTACAAAAGTTTCGACCTTTTGGCCAGGGTGGAACAGCAACCCAGCTGTCTTGTTTCTTCCCAAGGCATGCGGCGGATGTGTATCACCACCTGGAACAGAGAGCCCTCGCAGTGGCTCTGCACGGTCAGGCAGGGGTCAGCAAGTGTTGCTGCCGCGCTTGCCGGAGCAAGGGGAAATGTGTAAATATATATATATATATTCTGTATATGTATTCTATATATATATGTACATATGCATATGTGCGTGTCGAAGATGCCCACAGGACGACAACCATTTTGGGGGTTGCCCTATTTTGACACTCTCTCATCGTTACTGTCTTCTAATGAAGTCAATGGGGATGACATTGTTTCCAAAATCTAATGTCATTGGTGGGCATGCGGCATAATGGATACTGTGGCTTTTTTGTATCTGTACATGCAAGCTTGTCATCGCCCCTGCTCCCCCTACTCCAAATACCCACAATATTTAGAGCATCATGTCAACCCCTGACAAAAGGTAAGGTCTTCAACATGGAAAATCAGGCTTTTCAAAATATATCCTAAACAGTACGTATTTGGAGTATGGGGTTCATTGGTCCACTTTGCAAACAGTTCACCTTGTTTTTCTCTTGGTGGCGAGGTGTTCTTTCGCCACATGGTTGAGGGCGAGGTTTTAGGCTCTTTCCTAAACGACCTTGGCAACGTAGTCACCGGAATCAACGTAATTTGGTGGCCGTGTGTTGTTTCACAGTTGCCTTTTTGGCTGGGCATGAAACCCTAGCGCATCGAATAATTCACCACCTGTGGCTTGTTTACGGAAAGCCGACAAGGGGCCCGGAATGCCAAAAGATCGGCACCGCAGGTCGTGGATTTGCAGGAGCTGAACGCATGGGGCCACGAGGCTACGGAGCAGGTGGAGGCGGCGAATCTGCAGGTGGGGACCTCACCCCCAAACCCAAACCCCCAAGCCCAACCCCAACCCCACCCCCAACCCCACCCCGAAACCTTACCGCAATCTCACTGATTGGTGCGGGGTTGGTCTTTCAGGGTACCATTTTCAGGGGGGTGTTCGAGGGAAGCCAAGGAGAGATCACTGATCTGATATTGGGACATGGCGGTTTGTCAGTTTGCCGCGTTGAGGGGAAGCGGTTAGCACCGGCTCGGACAGGGTCCTTTGGTCAAAAGGTTGTAAACATTCGGAGGGTCCATGATCTTAGCGCTGGCTGGTGGTTTGCTTGGGGGTCCCAGCCCGATTCATGTCCAAAGCCCCTGTTGATTGCCGAGACCAAGCAGCAGGTGATTTCAGGCGAGGAAACGCAAAGGTTTGTTTCCTACAAGGGCAGTTTCCGCAAAACCATGACTCACAACTTTGCTTTACCTGAGGTAGGAGTCCCAAAGTCGAAGGCACACAGCTTAAGTCACGAAGAGACAATTGAAGGAACCAAAGGAGCTGCGTGCAAGGTGACAATTGCTTTCCCCAACAACCCAAAGTTTCCCCTCCCAGGTGTTTGCAGAGAACGTCTCCTGCAACACCACCGTCCTGCCGGAAGAATGGCAACTTGGCAGTTCCCAGCCATACCCTTAGACTGTTAGACTGTTAGACTTTTAGACTTTTAGACTTTTGCAGTTTCGGGGTGCTTTGTGACACTAAAAGGTTGATCAGTTTGGAGCTGGCGAGCATGAAAGCTCGGTGAGGAGCATCAATCATAGTGGTTTATGAAGCCCAACAAGGGCATCGTTGGAGTCCATAAACCTGAGATTTAGGCTTCTCAATGAAACAGTATCTATATCAACGCCATTGTTTTCATGGCTGGAATCCTGGTTGGACGTGGCTTAGAGGGACACCCAAAGGCAGCCAATAATGCTTGGGTCCCCTATTTGGCACGTACCCATAGACCCACCTCAAAAGTGTTTCTCGGACATTAAACCCGACCCAAATAGTGTCCACCAAAAGGTGCCCCCCATTCAATTGCCAATGGGCCCCCCCATTCAATTGCACACCCATCTCAGCAGTTCCGCTTGAAGCCATCGACGTGCTGAGGCAACTCATCCATGCCGAAGTGTCAGCCTTGGCTCACCTGAGCCAGAAGGTGAGCACGGAGTACATCTTGGTGCGGCAGGGCAACTCAACTAAACTCGGCCGGCCGCAGAGTTGGGCTGTCGCTTTTGGCTTTGGCTTTAGGTGTGGGTTTGGGGGTGTTGCTAAATGACTTGGCGAACCTTGGGCCCATGGTTGTGGAATTGTTCCAGATGTATGCTCATTTTCTGGGAGTGGGAAAGGCAATCCCCTGCAAAGTGTAAAAATTGTTTGGGAATTCCATGTTGCTATCACAAGCTAGGCTATTTTCCAAAACGGGGCTGTTGGACCGTCATTGTGACTGAGTTCTTGGACTTTGCGCCGGGACTATTTGAGTGGCAAAGAGTTCGGAGTTGTTTAGCCAATCCAGGAAGTGTGTTGGCCTGTTGAGCTGGACTGTTGGTTGCTGTCTGGTTCGACTCTGGCTTTTTCATTGTGCGAAGGAGTTTTTTCTCTCAACCAAAAAAGAAAGCTTCTTGGAAATCAAAGTTTCAGGGCTTGTTTTGTTGCGCCCGCTGCGTCATAGACTCCTCGAAGTGGGTGGTTTTGCTGCACTTTCTAGATGAATTTACCTAGGCTCTCCAACATGGGGGTTGGTTCGCTGCTTCTTTCACGCGAGATCGTTCAAACCACTCGTTAAGCTTGCCAAAGCAAGTCTTGTTCAAACATCCTCGCTTAGGTTTCCCTCTTTAGAGGGGCTCATGGGCTGCTGGTCCTCCAGCAGTCTATGATTTGCCATGGCCCAACTCGAGGCAAAAGCCCCAACAACGAGATGCTCACCTCGCTGTTGGTCGAGCTCGAGGAGACTCTGAAGAGGATCCCCAGCGAAACTGGCGAGGAACCCACCCCCTGTTTCTCTCTCTCCCTTTCTCTCTCTCGCTCTCTCTCTCTCGCTCTCTCTCTCTCTCTCTCTCTCGCTCTCTCTCTCTCTCTCTCTCTGTTTTTCTGCTGCGGGTTTTCATCTTGTTTCTAGGTTGGTGTTCTTTTGTCATTTTTTTTCCTCGGGGCGTCCCTGTTTGGCTTTGCTGCGTGTGTCTTCTCCGTGCTTTGTCTTGGGGTAAGTGTCCCTCTGCTTTGTTTCTTTGTCTGTCTTTCCATCGCATGGGTAGGTTCCAATCCCCCTTTCTGGTGCTGGCACCCTCCAACGACCGCCTTGAAACCCGTGGCCCACTGGGGCAATTTGCTATGGATCGCTTTGACGAAACATCTATTTTGTCAATGCCATTAGTATTTGAACCCACTTTCTCAAGGCATCGATGACTTGTTTGCCGCCTTTCCCCATGCCCAAAACCGGGCTGGGCTGTTTTCCATTTGAACAAGCCCGACCCAAAAGTACCAAAAGTGTACCGAGCTTAAAGCATGGGACACACCCAGTTGCCCTTGTTTTTTCTCCATCTGGGGGCCTTCTCCATGTTTTTAGTTTCCTTCGGCTTTCCTGTAAAGACCAACCGACAGGTCCGCCATTTTGAGACACTCCCACGTGGGTCTGTGTGTTTTTGAGAGCCCAAAGGGGTCATCCAGGCGCCAGGGGCCATCTGAGCGCTCAGGGTCACCTTCGGCTCCTCAAGTCCTCCGAGACCAGCGCCACCCACCCAGGACACGAAACCGGAGAGAGTGGAAGGTGAGTTCGGAGCCAGCGCATTTGGCGGCCTGGTGCAGTTTCTGTTCTTGGTGGGGGAGGGGGGGCAAGTTGATTTTTTGTTGTTGTGTGTGTGTGTGTGCTCTGTGTGTGGGTGTTTGCGTGATTGTGTTTTTGAGGGTACCTTGGATTTCAGAAGTGAACAGGAAGCCTGAGGCCCATTTTACACTCCATTGCGTACGCTTCAGACAGGTACCCCCGCCTGTGAGCCTTTCAAGAGAGCCTTGTGCAGGGGTAGAGGATGTAGCATCTCTTTGATGCAGCATCCCTTGCCGTGTGATAATGTTGCAACCCTAGTTGTGTAGAAGCCGCTGTGTGCTCTTCACACGCTTCCTCCACACGAACGAGCCCCAAAAAACCCTTCTGGTGTCCTCCCAAATAAGGCCTTAGTAGGCCGCACGCGTACCGTCTAATTTTGGGCAAACAGGGGAGGGGAACATATCTTTGCTCCCATGGCAAGCTCACCGATTCGGGATAAATCGAGCTACCATGTAGGTTCTTGGGGATCCCTTGTTTCAGGTTTTGGACACGATTTTAATGGGGACCCTTCGGTGGACGTCTTTTTTGTTGGGTTGTTGATGTCCACTCTCCACCAACCATTTTGGAGGGGTCCCTATTGAAACTCATGGCCACACTGGCTTAAGACTTGGTGGGTGCCAGGATTACTTTAACCACCTCCTCCTGCGCCTCACCCCGGCCGTGGATAGCTTGAAGCTCTCCGCCGAAGGCTGCATGGGAAAACCCACTGGAGTGAGCGTTTTCGTAGGGAAGCGGGCCCCCCACCCTCATCCCCTCACCCCATCTTCTTGTTTTGCTTCCTCGGCTTTTAAAAGCATGGTTTGTCCCATTCTTGATCGGGTTCATGCATGGCAGGTGGTGCAAGAGTTCGTAGGCTTTCATCCTGGTGCAAGTTACTAGGAAAACAACCACAGGCCCCAAAGCCACAACCCAGATGTTCGGCTCGGGGTTCTGATCCAAGGTTTCTGAAAAGCATTCTGGTGGATCAGGGATGGCCTATAGCCTCATCTAGGCTCCCACTGATTTTTTGTGAGCTAAGGGAATCACATGGAATCAAGCATTTGGGTATCGAGGGATCCCCAAGCAGCGTGTTTCCTTTTGGTTTCCCCTTTGACCAACCTTAAAGCAAGTACCCTCAACACAATAGATACAGTCTACAACTCGCACTGTTTGGGTGCCCAAGATTGGTCTAAGACTAAACCAACCAAACAAAACAACGGGTGGTATCCATGCAACCCCCGGAACCGTTCCGGAGCCTGAGCCCCAGCAACTCCCAAAGATTTCAGCTGCCACTATGAAGTTAAAGCGAGGGGGCCTCAAAGAACCACCTTTCCTCACCCAAGGATCTTTATCATCTAAATTGGGAGCGGCCATATTCCCCAGCTGGAAGCTCCCCAAAAGGTTTCAGGGGGTTCCAGGGTGTCTTGCAGGGCCTGTAAACGAGTTTCCCGACGGGTGATGTTTAGAGGCGGAAAGGGAACCCTCTTCGAAAGAGGTGATCTTTTCATCGCGGAAGGCTCTGCGGCAAGCCTCGTGCTCACCGCGGCTGACCGAGTGCTGGAGGCTGCGAGTACTATCCAGGCACAGTACCTGGAAGAGGCGACAGCTGGAGGGGTCGGGTGGGCTGAATGGGGGGAGGGTTTTGAACAATTGGTCTGAAATTGGTTTTGAGCAATCCCCCTACTTTGTTTGCAAATAGTTGGTTTTCCTCTTGCCTTTTCTCGGAACCAACATTTTGTTTTTTGGTGGTTCTCGGTGATTCTCCCCTTCAACATGATCTCAGTAGTGGGGATGAAAGCCAACCACTATGGAATCGCAGAACTGGTTGATTGCGCAGCCACAGCCTGACATGAGGTCCGCGAAAGGCCCGCCTTGCCCCATGATATTTGTTTCATGGCACTAGCAAAACATGTAACATGTTTTTTTTTGTTTTTGTTTTATCGCGATCCGGAGAGCGTAGGGGGGCAAGTTGACAGACTGACAGCTGCGCCGCAAAGCACCGGCTTACCAGGTTTTCCGCAGCTGAGATGGCTTGTTTCGTTTTGGTTCACAATCCAACGGGATTCTCAAATTTTGGAATACATTAAATCCGTGGCTTTGGACAAACACGCCATTTCGTTACGGCCAGTTTGCCTGGTCTTGTTTGTGCAATGATTGTGTTTAGGGTGGAGCCCCTTTTGGGACGCTTAAGCCTTTTGGAGTTGGGGGCCACCTGCCAGGGTGTGTGTGTGTGTGTGCTTGACACCCATGAAAGTTGTTTGTTGACTGGGTTTTCACGAATCAGATCTATTTACTTGAAGTGCACTGCCAAGCATCATGCTGTTGACTAGGACCGCTTGCTTAACCCGGTTTGCTGTTGTTGCTGCTGCTGCTGGTGTTGTTGTTGCCTGATGTTGTTGGTTGTTGATTGTTGGCTGTTGGTTGTTAGCACTTGTGACCCAGACCTTCCAGTGGTAGTACGGTTTCGACTGATATCGGAATTGCCATGTTGGACTTTGCCTGGATCAGCACGAACAGGCGCTATTTGGCCGACAAGGTCACAGCGCATGTGCATGCGGAGGATTGGGTGAAAACGGTGAACACGTTCCGCATTGTGGGCATGACCATGGGTGAGCAAAGGTCCCAGCTGGCTGGGTGCTATGATGCCTGCGAGGTTGTCACAATCGCTTGTTGGACAACCGTTTCATCCTGAAGCTTGCACAAAGATCAAAGGTGTCAACATGGGGGAGAAGCTCGCCACGGATACAATCAGGGGCGCAGGATGGGCAGCAAAGCAGGCAGGCGCTTGCCGTCTTTACGTGGTGACTTTTTAGCCTGGTCATTGTGAGTGCGTGATCTTCAGGAATGGCACAGATGTGAAGCATGAGGCGGACTTTCTGCATGAAGCATGAAGCATGTAGAGCGCACACTCATATCAGCATGTGATGTGACGCGCCCCTTCTCTACAGACACAGACACGGCCCACGGTCTGAACGGGGCTTGACGCTATGCTGGTTACTTTCAAGGTCAATGCTACAAGCGCGGATGCCTTCCTGAGTGAGCTTTTCGATTACGGTGTCTCAATAGCACCAACTTATTCGCGAACAAAAGGGCTGCTGGATTTCGCGTTTGGTTGCTGCACTTCCTTGCGTTTCTGGACTGTGTGGCAACCGCCGCGCAGCCCTGTTGAGATGGTAATGATGGTGCAAGGGGCCAGTCCTGTGTCAAATTATGGTTTAATTTGCCGTCCTCGCTGCCAGGCGGGATAGCTGTTTGGCCTTGCACGGGCGCCGCAGGACGGTCTCTGCCTTTGCCTTTGTAGCGCAAGGCGGTCTGCCGTTTTTGCCTTTGGCTTCTTCGGGATGTGTCACGCAATGTTGCCGGCCAGCGTGCAGCTCAACGATTCAAGGAGAAACCAAAAGGTTGTTGGTTGTTGGTTTCGGCTGTGTCATTGTTGCCTCTCTGCGGCTGCTGTTGCCGCTTGTGTGTTTGCGCCGGGGTTGTTGGTTGTTGGTTGTGTGTTTCTTTGTTGTTGTTGTTGTTGTTGTTGTTGTTGTTGTTGTTGTTGTTGTTGTTGTTGTTGTTGTTGTTGTTGTTGTTGCTGCTGCTGCTGCTGCTGCTGCTGCTGCTGCTGTTGTTGCTCCCCACCCGACAGGAAGGGGTTGTTAGATTTTATGTTGGAATCCGCGTTTGCGATGCTTCTACACCACGCCCCCACCCAGTATGCCGCCAGAGCGGCTCGCCAGTGGATCCCGCCGAGTATCCCGCCAGAGCTGAGCAGCTCGCCAGTGGATCCCGCTGAGTATCCCGCCAGAGCAGCTCGCCAGTGGATCCCGCCGTGTCCCGCCAGAGCCGCCGAGTATCCCGCCAGAGCGCCTCGTTAGCGTATCCCGCCGAGTATCCCGCCAGAGCAGCTCGCCAGTGCCGAGTATCCCGCTGAGTATCCCTTGCTGGTGGATTCTGCTGAGCATCCGCCGGGGCGGCCCGCGAGTACTCGCCAGTGGATCCCGCCAGTATCCCGCCAGAGCAGCTCGCCAGTCTGGTTTTGCTTAATGTCCCACCCGGCGCACAGTTGGGTTTACATTTCATGTTGGCGCCTTCGTGTTTTGAGTGTACCCTGAGGCTCGGTGCTTTGGGTTGTGAATAAGCAACTTCGTTTAATAAGCAACTTCGTTTAATCCCCCGTCTTGCAGACAAGTGGAGTTTGACACACAGACAGGTGACTCTCAATGCAAAGCCTGTTGAGAAGTCATAGACCCCAAGCCGCTCGAAAACCATGCTTGAATTCACACAACCGTGTTCACGGTCGTAAGCTCGTGCGTGTGGAGGGCGGGGATTGCTCGAAGCGAAGTAATTGTTGTTGTTGTTGTTGTTGTTGTTGTTGTTGTTGTTGTTGTTGTTGTTGTTGTTGTTGTTGTTGTTGTTGTTGTTGTTGTTGTTGTTGCGGTTGCAGTTGCCGTTGCCGTTGCCGTTGCCGTTGCTGTTGCCGTTGCCGTTGCCGTTGCCGTTGCCGTTGCGGTTGCCGTCGCCGTTGCCGTCGCCGTTGCTGTTGCTGTTGTTGCTGTTGCCGTTGCCGTTGCCATTGCCGTTGCTGTTGCTGTTGCTGTTGCTGCTGCTGCCGTTGCTGTTGCTGTTGCTGCCGTTGGTGTTGCTGTTGCTGCTGTTGCTGTTGGTGTTGTGTTGCTGTTACTGTTTCTGTTGCTGTTGCTGCTGTTGCCGCGGTTTTGGTTTGTCCGTCGTCGTCGTGGTGGTCGTGGCCGGTGTTGTGGTGGTGCTCGTCGTCCTGGTCGTGGACCTGGTCGCAATCATCGTCTTCGTTCCCCTTGTTTCAGCCTGCTTTGTGTTTGTTTTATTGTTTTGCATCGGGGGCATGCGTCAGCAGTGCCCCCAGGCTTTGGCCGCTGATCCCAGCTGGCCGGGCAGGCGGCTGGATGTGGCCCTGAACCAACTCAGCGGTGCCCAGCAGGTTTTCAAGGATGGGCATTAGAATCACTCCCCCCCACCCAAACATTGTGGATTGCCCTTCTGTCGTTTTTCAATCCAAGGTGAAGATGGTACCTCCAAACAAACAGCAAGATGTTGGGACACCGGTATTCATTAGCATGGAGAGGCCCCCGAAACGGTGGCTTTCCACTGGACTAGGCTTGGTTTCTGGAATCGATCTGACAAGGGCTGTTTTTTGGACTTCCGCAAGTAGGCGTTTCGTGGCAACCAGAAAATTCAACCCACCATTGAGTGGGTGGAAGGCAACTGAGTCTTCATTGATCGTTTGAAAGCTGTCGCGTGTTTACTGGTTCAAGTCTTGCGTTCCTGTTCCATGCCCACATTCGCTTAGTGCTTTGCAGTGCCTAAATCATTAGCATAAATCGTTTGCGTGGGGTTGCGGGGTGCTTTAAGCCAAGTCATGGCTGTAGGAGTAAGTTATCGGTAACTATGTAGCCTCTTCTTTTACTTCTCCTTTTCTTGCTCTTAGGCTTTCCTTTCTCAGCCGCTCGTGCCATTTCTGAGAGTCATACCTTTCAAGCCCTTTCAGGTTTTGATGGCCCCCTTGCAGATGAACAACGGGAACCATTTCAACTCACTTTTGGAAGAAAACATAGAGAAAGGAACGATAATGAATTTGGAGCCGGAGCCCTGGTGCTGCGGTCCTTTCCCCTCTTGCACTGAGATGCCTCGCTGAACGTTTGTTTTTTGTTTGTTCAAGCTTCACATGTTCCTTATGTTCCCGTTTGAGTTACAGAATTCTAGTTGTTATTGTTTGCTTTTTCCATTTCATCTCATTGGCCTCCTTGCTTTGGGCTGTCTCTTGTCCTTCTTCACTTGCCTTTTCCCCGGTTGCCCGGCTCACGCCTCATGGTTTCCTTCAAAAAGAACTTCGCCTTTCTGGTTCCACCCCGGCCCTCCCTGAATTCGCCCTCCATCCGCGCCCAAGCCAGTGAGAAGGCTTGATTTGGCCACAATCAACATCCAAACGAGCGTGTTGTTTTTTGAAAGAAACCGAAAGGAAAACCATAATGTTTCTCAGCCCCTCCAGGAGGCGTTGCTCTTCGTCTTTGACCTGAACTCGGACAAGACGAACTTCCTTAGCGCCGTGGAAGGCTTCGAGTCAGCCCTGCTGCGCCTCAAGGAAGGGTCCACGAGCCGCCGTGCCGTCGAGCCGTCAGCCGGCTGCGCGGATGTTCTATTGCCCATGGCCCTCGTAAAACAGAGACACGGACAGAGGGCGACAGAGATGGAGACAGCCACAAACACAGAGACACAGCGATTCACACACTCAGACACTCAGACACTCAGACACTCAGACACACACACAGACAGACACAGAGAGACACAGAGACACATAGACACCGAGCCACAGCAGGGTCGCGAAACACAGAGAGCACA